AGGGTAAATGTATTATATTCAGTGAAAACACAAGCAAAGATATCTATAGCGCAGATACATCAGCAGCATCTTGTTCATCCACTGAACTTCTACAAGTCTGAAAGAAGGTAGATGTATATTTTTTAGTGAAGACACAAGCAAAGGCATCTATAGCGCAGATACATCAGCAGCTTCTTGTTCATTCACTCGAGTGGTGGCGCACCTGTGAACTGCTCAAATGCAAGCAAAATAAACAACCCGCAGTTATAGTTGCTCAATTAAATCCCCATGTCGGATTCGTACGCTTGCACTCGAAACCTTTCTCCCGTGGTTGTTGCTAGCATAGGTCTAAGTCGTTCTGCTACCACTCGAACGCTGGCCACGTAGCTTGATTTCATTGGATCGTAGATATACACGATACGTTTTGCGATGTCGATCATAATAGCACACCAATGGTTCGAATTGCAGCTGATCGGTATGAGTACACACTCCCCAGTAATTGTCGACAGAATGCTCTCGACAGTCTCAGCATCCATTGAAATATTCCTTCCCACAACCCACCCAAACAAATTTGGGGTTATCACCACCACTCGCGGGTTGTTTGAGTATAGTTTTTCCAAAACTAGGCTTAAGGTGGAATCGCTAAGATTTCCCCGTCCGACAAGATCTAATAGGTCAAACTAAAACAATTAAGTTATTATTGAGAGCTATCATAAAAATATGGTAGGTGTCTTACCTCATTTGACTGTAGACGCGTGTTTTTTAGGCCTTCCAGTAGTCGTTTATCTTCTTCCACGATGAACCACATGTCGACCTCAGTCCCAAAATCAATAGTCGTAGCCCAGACAGTAGCTTTGTCAATCTGAGCAATAGCATCCATCGCTCTGTGATAGTTCCTCATTGTAGTCAGTGCTCCAGCTGTAAACACACCAATACTTGGCACTTCAAGAAGTATATCCACCTCTCGGAGACCGTAGTTCTTCCCTTGGAAGGCCGATAACTTCTTGCTGCACTTACGCAGCATATCTTTAAAAAGAATTCGCGATATATCTTCGTTTCTTAGTACCGTCTTCTTCCGTGATAGTTTGCCTTTTTGGTGGGCGATTGGCTGCTTGGTTTGGTTTTTCTCCAAAATAAAACAGCGGTATTGTCGGAGTGTCGTCTCTGCAGAATTGAATGTGTGGTCTTCACGTAATAGGGCGGAGAGCACCGATAAATCCAGCTTCATTTGATGCATGTTTGAATCGTGGTGAACTTTGGAGATTTCGCGATTCTTTTTGGCTTTCTTTGCGGATGCTTTCTGCTTTGGCCTACCACGCGGTCGGACTGGACTTGCAATTTCAAAATCATCCGTACTTTCGACAGGCTCTGTAGTGTAGTGAGTATTTAACAGCTGTACAACTGCGCTCGATGCTCCAGACTCAGTCGGTTGCAGCTCGTCCGTAGTCGGGCATAGGTGGGGCACAGTCGGGGGCTGATTTAACTCAGTTGAGGGAAGTGTTGGATTCCCCGGTGGTTCATCTGTCACAGTCATCGGTTCTGGCAACGTAGTTGAGACTTCCTCGAGCTCCGGTGGTTCGAACGCAATCGGGAACTCGTCAGACTCAGGCGGTGGTTGGTCGGGCTCCGGCGGGACCTCTTCAGCCTCAGGCGGGGGAGCATCAGATTGTAGCTGAGTCTGGACACACTGAGTGTCTGAAACTAGGCGATCAATTTCATGAAACTGTCGGTGCTTGAAAAGTTCAGCGACAGTATTCAACACTCGAAGAGCATCTCGGTACTCACGCATTCCCAGACTGCTCATTGTACTCGTGATACAGTTTGCGACTTGGTTAGCTTCGCGGAACTTGCGATTAGCATCCCAAGCATTTGGCTCGGGTCTAGCAATCCGTCGTATGCGAAAAGCCTTATCGGGTATGGTGGGAACTGTAAATGATGCTCGTAATGTTGACAGCAACCATCTCGGATGTAGCTGAGCCGGGATTATAGTCTCCTTCTTCAATGCCTTGCGCAAGTATAACACGTGTCTACAAGGAAGCAACCGTGTACTCATGAACATACACGAGCATCGCCAATTCCCCATGTCCACATTGTACTCATGATTTGGGCTCGTCCAACGCATCGTCGTCGTGAGTCGTGTTCTTGATAAACATCACACCAGGAATTCCTTCGTAGAAACTGTATGTAGCACGCCCAGCTGCATATGCGTACTGTTCAAAAATCAAATTGCAAGCGTGCTCGCTGACTAGATTTGATACGTACTGCAATTCTTTGTCGTATGAGGCGTGGTGGATAACACCAATCTTGAACATTCGATTTACGAAATCTTTTTCTGCGAGCGATTGGTAGTACATCAAGGACGCTATACATTCGTCCAGCTGCATGAAAGAGTTCACGATGTCTTTAATTTGCTTCCACGAGGCCTCTAGATGATTGTTCGTGTTGTTTCCCAGCGTAACAGCGTTTTGGCGTTTGTAGGAGCACCATTTGCCCCTGCAATTATCCCAATTTCGTTTGAAATACGATTCGAAGGGATGCGGTCTCGCTTCTAGGTGATCCTCCTCCTCTTCATCTTCACGCTCAACCAGACCGGAACCGCAACCGACAGGCTCTACACGATGCCCGACTGCGTCTGCAGCGTGCCCGACTGAGTCGGTAGTGTGCCCGACTGGAGCACTATCTCGCTCGACGACTCCCACAGTGATGACTTGGTGCATGTAACGTCGGTGTTTGTTGTACTCTCTCTCGCTTTTTGCATACACCAACAGGGAGACGATACCTCTCAACTGTTCTTTCTGCCACGGATTAAACCCGTACTCGTCGGCCTTGGCGATCTCCTCGGATAGGTACTTAATTACGTGAAACTGGCAGAGTAGAATCTTGACCCCAGGGAAAGCCGCCTCCAGCACACTCATTTCGGTAAAGTCCTTGTCAATGATGACACACTGCAGCCGCTTCGTAGCAGGATTGTTCAGTTTGAATTCTTCGATGGCTGCTTCCAGGGTTTCCTTCCGCTCATTCTGGACTAAGGCGTGCTGCACGTACTTCCCTTTACCAAAGGTGTCATGAATCATGAAGGAAAATACCTTGTACTTCGGTACGTTTGTTCCGTGTGTAGCATCGATAAGTAAGACCTCCGGAAAACGATCGTACAGATACCGCATGTGTTTTGTCTGCATTGTTATGCACGTAGCAATTTTCTGAAACAGCAAAAGGATTATAAGCGGTGGTATGAATAAATATCTGATCGATCATCGTTTACCTTGCTTTGTTGTGCCTCTACAAAAATTCTGCCCATGTTGCCGTTTTCTCCACAGAAATCCATCATCCACGCTTTCAAACGTTGGGCACTAGTTGTTGATTGGGTTGATTGATTCTTCAGCTTTCGTACCAGATTGTGTACATCCCTTATCGTCGGTGAACAGTCGGAATTCTCAGTAATAAACTGGTGAATGCTCTTCTTTCCTGCACCGGCCTTTTGTAGAACCCCCACGGTTTGCAGAACACTCTCCCCAACTGCTGTTCGGTTAATTGGGTATTTTGATACGCTGTCGAATCAACCAAGTGATTATGGGTCGTTCTCATCTTCGTAATACATACAACAAACTTGTGAGCTGATTTATCCACTTCTCGAACGCAGGCATTAATCTAAAAGACATTACAACGTTAGTGTGCTTGTATTATCCGCCAGCACCCGCCAGCACACACTAGGACCCGCCTGTATCTGCCATCACCCGCCAGCACCCACCAGCACCCGCCAGCACCCGCCAGTGGAAGGCTTACCTGTGTAGGACACTCGATCGAGCGAGACTCTTGACGTGCTCTCTTGCCCTTCCCACGCGGCTTGTACTTTCCGGCGTGGGTGCACACCAGCGTCTTGGCGTACCATACCCATGTCTCCGGATTAGGTGTAGATTTGGAACCTGTCCGCTGGATAACGGCGTTTATTTCGCCAACCTTCTTTGTTTGTTCGAAGTCTGAGCACCTGGATATCAATAGGCTTGTTAGAGAAGGTCATACACTAAGCAGACCAAATACACCTTACCTGGTACGTTTCCGCTTGATATGTGCGGATGTACGTGTCGAACGCATCCCACGACTCGAAGACGGTGCGGCCAGGAAGGGGAGGAGTCGAATGCTGAGGATGAAGGTCTTCCGAGCGGCTTGATTTGTCTGAATGCTCCGTCAAACTCGACGTCGTGCCTAGCGCGAACTCGCTTCCGTCACTAACGCTGTTCTCGTCATCTACGTTGTAATCGCTGTCACTGTCCGATTCAGGGGGCACACGTTTCCGCGCCGACCGTCGCATTCGCTCCGCCGGGTTCATTGGCTTCCGTCGATCGGGGGGGGGGAATGCGTAATGAGTGGTTTGCATACACGTATGCATACACGTATACGTCGTTCGGATAGCTGGGAGGTCCGGAGCGATTTGAGACAAGAGCGTTCGTAGAGCGTCCATTTTTTCAAATCCTGAAGAGTCTTCACAGGCGGGGGTTCCAACCACTCTCATTAATAAAAGTGAAGAATTTCGCGCTCTATTATAATGTTGTAAATCCAAATATTTCATTATGTTCCTTACCTGTAAAAAAAGATAGTACTATCGGAGTACAGTAGCAATTCTTCATCCAGCAAGTATTAGTAGTACTGAAAAATATCGTGGTATCTTAAACAATTAAAAAATTGTGACGAACATAAATATTACATCAATGACACGAAGCTTAAAAACCTGCCTCGGGCCAAAGTCGCTAAAGCTCACATTAAAAAAAGTCGGGTACAACAAGTGTTCGTGTAAGCCTAAACTGCATGTTACAGTCTCTCGATGTGTGTTTCCTGAGTTGAGAGCACTGCGATGCCTTCCCAGTGTCACAAACAGCTTAAAAGTCACACACAAACTCGACTAAGTACGATCAAAGGATCGTCAATATAATTTGTTAAAGCAATAGCAGCTCTTAACCCAGCAGCAGAAGTATCAGTATAGGTATGTAATACGGAAACAAAAATATCGTGTAATACGTAGAAGCCTAGATGCTAAATCCGTTGTCCGCGATTGTTTGCTTGTACCAGTACGATGACTTTTTCGGCACGCGCTCTTGAGTCTCGTAGTCCACCCAGACCATGCCAAAACGGATGCCGTAGCCCATTGACCACTCGTAGTTGTCGAAGAACGACCATGCAAAGTAGCCGCGGACATCGGCACCCTCCGTGATTGCCTCGTGAACATTGGCAATGTACTGGCGGTAGCAATCCTCACGCTGGGTGTCTTGCTGGGCCTCCTCCTTCGTCACATCCGGCCAGGCCGAACCATTCTCCGTGATGTAGATGCCGTTCTTCGGGTGATACTTCTCGTGGATGTACAAACAGAGTTTCTTTAGTCCCCAAGGCGTCACGTAGTTCCATGGTGCTCCAGTTTGCACCCAGGACGGATCTTGGTATCCGGTGACGCCCTCATCGGCCTCAAGTCCGCCAGTGTTGTCGTTCGGAGGTGGGACGCCATCCTCAAACTCAGGTGACGGCTTGACGTAGCACGAACTGTAGTTGTTAAGCCCAAAAAAGTCGGAGCTGCCCTTCAGTAGCTTCTTCTGCTCCTCAGTGAACTTCGGCAGGCGATCACCGCAGCGGTCTTTCATGACCTGCGGGTAGTCGCCAAAATACACTGGTTCGGCAAACCAGTCGAAGCTCCACGCCATCGCACGCTCCGCTGCAGCAACGTTTTTCTCCTTCTGTTCCGGATCGTCGGTAGGGCCAGGCTCTTTCCATTCAGCACTCAGCGTGATACCGATTTGACCACCTTGCGTCTCCTGGAAATCCTTACGGTACACGTCCACCGCCCGAGCGTGTGCTAGTAGCATGTTGTGACCCGCAAGGTATGGCTCAAAGTGCTTGTTGTGCTTACGTCCAGGAGCCAACATACCCGAACCGAAGCCCATGTAGTTGGCCACCCATGGCTCGTTCATTGTGATCCAGTTCTTGACACGGTCACCGAATCGATCAAAGCACACTCGAGCATACTGAGCGAAGTGTTCTTGGATCTGCTCACCCAGGAAGCCATCGAATTCCGTCTGCAATGACAATGGCAAGTCCCAATGGTACAGCGTAGCCATGGGCTCAATACCGTTAGCGAGTAGCTCGTTAATGAGGTTGTCGTAGAACTGGACGCCTTCCTCGTTAACCTCACCCACCCCGGCCGGAATGATACGTGGCCAGGCGATGGAGAAGCGATAAGCCTTGAGTCCCATACTCTTCATAAGCGCCACATCTTCCTTGTAACGGTGGTAGTGATCGATCGCTACGTCGCCCGTCTCGCCGTTCTTGGTCTTGCCCGGAGTGTGTGAGAATGCGTCCCAGATGCTGGCACCGCGGCCACCTTCATTCACTGCACCCTCAACTTGGTACGAGGCAGTAGCGGCACCCCACATGAATTTATCGGGGAATCGGATCTCCTTGGTCATTGCGCAGTCGAAAGTTGTTGAAGCTCTTGAGGGTCAAGCGAAATTGCGGAGTGAGCTCTTCGCGGCAAGACATTTTTTTTTTAGCATAATCGTTGAGCAAATCGTCGCATCCCATGACATCCGTCCTGTAAATATAGCTCATTTATGGTAAATTGAGCATAAACGACGGATATCAGCATTAAAGGTGTCTGTTGGACAATCATTTTAGTCGTGGTTGAAGCTCTTGTTGCAGCTGTTGAACTTTTGCAACAATGTAGTTTTACCAATATCTACGCTCTCAACTTGGGCAAGAGAGAGCTTCCCAACTTCCTACGACACGATAGGCAGCATTAAAACTGCAATCGCTTTGCTGCTCCACACGAGGGGAGTGCAACTTGCACCTTCACTGTACAGAAATCTACCTGAATAAGGAACGCCTGATATAAATTAAGAAAGAGATTGCATAAGCTGACATTGCCTCGCTAAAAACAGACTATGCTATCGGATCATGTGCATGTATTGAATTAAGTTAGGATAAATTAATGATTCGACTTTCGAATGAGACCAGAGTGATTCCAGCAGTGCTGAATCGTAAGAGCGCTAACTTTAGACCATGGAGCCTCGCACCAGAGCAGTGCAGTTAGCTGGTCGACGTTGTACGAGTTGTCGAGGCCTTCGCCTTGCCGATCCAATGCGAGCATCATTTTTTGCGATAAGATGTATCGTTTAATGCAATTGATTCGGATCAGGTGAGGCGGAGACGATTGGAGGGCATGGGGTGCTGAGGACGCAGTCGGCTAGTGAGCTTGAATTTAAATGTAGGAATGAAGCTCAGCTCGTAGGGCTTGAAGCGAAGGAGGACCACCTACTGCGCGCCATTTTTTAAAATTAAAGTCAAAGTCAGTGCCTGGATTGTTTTGCCAGTACCTTGCCCATCACTATCCCATCTCCCTAAATCTTTCCCGACTATAAAAATTGCGAGGTTATTAGTTGAAACCCCGTTCCTTATTCAGGCAGATTTCTGTATCAGCGACTGTTCCCCACTTAACCCATGTAGACCGAACTCTATTCTGTAGTATACAGAACAATTGTTTGACTTGATTAACATATTGCTGTTAGCTCGGTAAAATTAATCCGTTGCAAGCCGTTCGGCATGAGCAGTGTCGTAGACGCTGTGAATTGGGACATAGGTGATGTTTTGGTTGCCATAAATGCAACAATGTACACCATCTGTACGATATCTCTGTTTTTATTGGCTTAGAAATGATGTGCAGCGAACGATGTCTGTCATAAAAACTTTGATTATCAGTATCCCCCGGAATCCGATAGCAAAACGGTTTTGGCGCCAGAATGACTGGTCGCGCTAAAGGTTTGTCGGCGCGTCGGCGCGTTCCCACACCAACTTTTCGGCCAGTTCTAGACTAGACGGAAGTGAAGAAGAACTAGGCTAGAACTTGACCGAAATGCTGGTGTGGGAACGCATAGAACTGCTGACAGGGAGAAGGAGGTATTTATTTCAATGCGGCATTAGAAACTAATACTTCGCTAACTAACCTCGGCATGCTCTCATGCATCTTCGCTGCGTTTACGCTTACGGAATCGAATATTCTTCCTCAGGTGAGCAGGTATGGCAGTGCCGTTTGCCCAAGAGTCATGCCAAATTTGATCGCATGTGAGTCGGTTTCTTGCTTCTTTTCGGCGCATGCAGTTGCAGAGGGGGACATATCCATCGTGCAGCTCCTCACAGGCCTCGCAGAAAAAACGGCTCTCAAACCCTTTGGTTTTTGGTGGAGCCATAGCAGAACAAACCTTGCATAGGTGCTGACGTCGCTTGTCCTTGTATTTTCTCTCTTGCTCTTGTAGTTGGTGCTCGGGTCGAGGCAGTGGGATCGAGGCCAAGTCTTCTGCTTGCTTATTACTAGCCAAACTTGTCGCGGTGAGTGCTAATAACTCGACATGTAAGAGACGCATGTACTCTGCATGACTTGGTACTGGTTTGCCATCTTTTCGCATTTTTATCTTATGCACGATGAAGCCGTTCACGATGGCCATGTCGACGAACCCGAGAAAGAGCTGCCGGTAATACTTCTTGAAGGCAACGCATCGCTGGATTGAATACCTCTGGAGACGTAACTGGTCGTGCCGGTCAACGCCCCCCATTCCACTATGATAATCGGCAAGTAGCTTAGGACATGGCGCCACTTGAGATATCGCGGATCCCTTCTCCTTTCTGGTGACGGTGGTAGCCGTGGTTGCACAACCGGTAGCAATTAGATTCACAGGTTTTGAGTCCATCCAGGACACAGCAACCAGGTCAGGGTGATCCTTCGACTGGGCAATACGATAAGTTCCTCGGGGCATCGACACGGGCCGCTTTTTCTGTGTGAACGCGAATCCAGCTGGCCAACCGAGACGGTCGCTTCGGTGTGTCCCGACGTAGTAATACCCTTTCTCCATCAGCGCGATCGCGAGTGCGCACGATGAGTAGAAGTTATCCGCAATTATAAGACGTTTTCCCTGCTGCCCATCCAGAGCTTTAGAGACGTTGCGAATGACAGCTTTCTGCGCGACTCCCTTCGCTTTATACTTGGCTACTTTTCGCTCTGCAGGAGTCTGCGCGTTCTTCGACTCGTCCGAGGCATACATGTACACTTCAATGCTGAGCCATACAGAACACCAAGCACAATAGTCAGCTAACTCCGTATCCGACAGAACACGCTATTCTGTACCATCCGGAACAAGCTAATCAGCGTAGCTTATGCTGTATCGTACAGAGTAAAAAGAGAATACGAACCGAGAACAATACCCGGATTCCGCACAGCAGGTCATGTACACCTTCGTCCCGTACTTATGCGGTTTGTCCTTGTTGTAGACGCGCACCGGATTGAACTTACTTCGGTTAGGAATGGTCCCCTCGTCGAAGCTAATGCGCGCTCCAAGTCGATACCCTCGGCGAAACGTCTTCTCCAGTGTCTGCAATACAGGTCGCACCTTCCAAGCCTTGTCAATCGTAGCAGCGCCCGCGGCTGAGCTCTGAAAGTGAAGGTATCTCATGATGGTACTAAAACGATCCCGAGACATGTATTTGTTGAACGTTCCTCGGGGTATCGCTCCATCCTCCTGTGTCCGCCAGTGCTTGTCGAGGCCATCCGTGTGACTGCACAACGACCGCGCTATCAGCAGACCCACCACATGCAAAATTTCGTGAGCCTTTATCGATCTTGTCTTCGTCAGCTTCTCCACCAATGCTTCTACTGGTTGTACTGTCTTCGTGGGGTCCTTTGCACTAGCCTCGAGCTGCTTAGCACGCTGGGCGGCAGCGACACTTGGTATACACTCGATACGATACGCCTCGGACTCCTTCGCAATGTGAAACCACAACTTCTTAGGGAGAAAGTAGAAAAACATACCCAACGGCGAACTGGCGAAGGCTGCGGCAGACCTGGTGGGCCCCCATGTTCCGTTGTATAAGTCGGTTGCTTCATCAAGCTGTAGGTCGCCTGTACTCCGGATTATACAGAATTACAAACATGTTAGAAAAACTACCAGGCACAGCATATAAAGAGGCAGCTGAAAGTACTCTGTATGATACTATCTTACCACAATGGTTTTGATCATAGATCTCCCAACCAGAAGCAGCCATCGTGCGCATAGCAATATCATCTTGTGCAAATTCGCTGCTGTCGTCTTCAAACTCGTCATCTGATTCCACCTCGCTTTCGTATAATTCGGATAGGTCCCCAGGAGCATCGACAGGATCTCTAACAGACTCAACGTCTTCTTGAGGCGCCAGGCTATGGTCAGCTATGTTCACATCGTCCGCATCAACAGGCCCAAACAATCTTTCAGATCTCATCGCGTCGATAAAGTGTGGGGAATCGAACACATCCAGACCGGTCCAACTGGTCGCAGCCTCGCCACATCCTTGTTCTGTAGGAGCCGTCACACTACCTTCGACGTCATCACCGTGCTCTGTATCTGCCGCCGCAGTCGGTTCCGTATCTGCCGGCGCAGTTAGCTGCATGGCATCAACTGGTTCGGTATCCGCCGCCACAGTCTCCTCCTCGGCGCCCCCTTGTTCTGTATCCGCCGGCACAGTCTCCTCCTCGGCGTCCCCTTGTTCTGTATCCGCCGTAACAGGTTTCTCCACGTCGCCCCCTTGATCTGTACCCACCGCCACCGTGTCATCTTCCACTGCACCAGACAAGAGGGTTCGCGAGGGCATTCGTTTCCTTGCAGCTGCATACGCGGCCTGCTTTCCCATTGGAGGCCGTCCGACAATTATTGGGCCCCGAAAAGAGGGGGTAAGAGGAGGTATCAA